TACATTGTTAGCAAGGACCATGTTACAGTTTTAAACGTATTTACTAACTGATGTGAAATTCATTGTAATAGAACTAAATTGTTTTTTCCCTGGGTCCTTTGCCCTACTGTCTATATGATGACAACTTTTTGCCTGAAGGTTTCCAATAATTTTATTTGCACAGTCAAAATCTACATTTATATACCTTTTTCTTTTTTTAAAGATTTTACTTAGCAAGAGCGCGAACAGGGAGGAGAGGCAGAGAGGGAGAAGCCGAGTCCCCGCTGATCAGGGAAGCCCAATGTGGGCTGGATCCCAGGACCCTGGGATCATGACCTGAGCAGAAGGCAGATGCTTAACTGACTGAGCCACCCAGGCACCGCTTTGTATACCTTTTTGAATACTTGTTGAATGTGGCTAAAAGGTTTCTTGGTGTTTTTCCATGCTATGCAAATGTTTTAGTAGAAGTAGATGATTTTCATTTCTTGAATGCAGCTAATTGTTAACTAAGCAGCCACTACAGATGTTTTGTACAACAAAACAGCGTATATGAGATGGTCTAAAGATCCAAATATGGTTTCTGAAAAATGCGTTATTAGTGTAGTGTACACAATAAAACCAGATAACTACCAAGTGAATCCACTAGAGGGTTAGAGGACTCATCCAAAAAATTTAACTAGGAGTCTCACTCTTAACATTTGGGGAATACCTGGATATTTTATGTAGGCTGGGAATCTAATTACATTTCTTCATTTGTTTGATTTTTCTGCTATTTACATTTTATAGTACTCAAAACTATCAAATGTGAGAATCTAATGTAATTAAGCATAGAATACTAAATTTTGATAATAACCTAAATTTCCAAAAGATAAATACAATTGATATTCTGAACTTACATTCATGAAGGTAGTATCTCAAGTGTCTGATACTGATCCTAGGATTAAATACAGCATCAACATTCAAAATTAGTAAGCTATTCACTTACTAAAATGAAGTTAGCATTTTATCCTCTATTTCTTCTATAAACTTTGGTAAAAGCAATTTATCGTTCTGTAAACAGTGGGGGTGCCTGGGCTGGCTCAGTCTGTAGAGCATGCAACTCTTGATCTTGGGGTTGTAAGTTCCAGCCCCACCGGGTGTAGAGACTACTTAAAAAATTAAAAAAAAAATTCCATTAATAGTGTATTTACCACTCTATTTTGGGTGGATCTCATGAGGGCCATCTATATCTTGTACAACAACTAGAAATTCACTTAAAAATTAGTTTGTTATATGGGGCGCCTGGGTGGCTCAGTCGTTAAGCGGCTGCCTTCAGCTCAGGTCATGGTCCCAGGGTCCTGGGATCGAGCCCCACATCGGGCTCCCTGCTCAGCGAGAAACCTGCTTCCCCTTCTCCCACTTCCCCTGCTTGTGTTCCTGCTCTCGCTTGCTCTCTCTCTCTCAAATAAATAAAATCTTTTTTTTTTTTTTTAAGATTTTATTTATTTATTCGACAGAGAGAGACACACAGAGAGAGGAAACACAAGCAGGGGGAGTGTGAGAGGGAGAAGCAGGCTCCCCGCCGAGCAGGAGCCTGATGCGGGGCTCGATCCCAGGACCCCGGGATCATGACCTGAGCTGAAGGCAGACACTTAACGACTGAGCCACCCAGGCGCCCCTAAATAAAATCTTTAAAAAAAATTAGTTTGTTATGGATTTGTAGGATTTTCACTGCCTTTTGTGACACTGTCAAAGGAATATTCTTATACAGTATGCTTTATGTGAAAATTTCCTACATCTCTGTATTTGCTGATTTTAATATTTTGGATTTTCCTTAGTGTTAGTGCCTAGAAGGAAATGTTATTTTTTAAAAATGCTTTATACATTGTTTTTAAAGTAAGAGGTTAAATCAAGTAGGAACAATAGGATTGTGTCCTCATATTTTTCCTCTTTCTCCCTCAGATAGACTGAGGGGAGTCAAAGGAACAACAAAACTCCTAGATGAGGAAATGGTGGGTATGGTCACTATTAGAAATGATATACCCATTTCATCCAATTTGGGTAATTTAATAGAATCCTTTTGATTTTTTTTTTAAAGATTTTATTTATTTGAGAGAGAGAGAATGAGAGAGAGCGCGAGAGGGAAGAGGGTCAGAGGGAGAAGCAGACTCCCCGCTGAGCAGGGAGTCCGATGTGGGACTCGATCCCGGGACTGACCTGAGCCGAAGGCAGTCGCTTAACCAACTGAGCCACCCAGGCGCCCATAGAATCCTTTTGATTTTTGTGGGACATTCCTACTTAACTGCTCCCAAAAATGTCATCGTGTTGTGTGTGGTTTTTTTTTTAAGATTTTATTTATTAGAGAGTGTGAATGTATGTGCAAAGCGGGGAGGGAGGAAGGAGAGGGAGAAGGAGAGGGAGGGGAGAGAATCCTAAGCCGAGTCTTCCCTAAACCCGGCCTGGGGCTCAATCTCTTGAACTTGAACCAAAACCAAGAGTCAGATGCTTAGCCAACTGAGCCACCCAGGCGCCCCTGTCATTGTGTTTTTAAAATCAGGTGTGTTATAGAGAAAAATTACGCTTTTCTTGATTTTGGTAATATTTAAACCACTTTAAAAATATTTGGTGTTTCTGGGTTTTTAAATGCATTTTAAAAAAATTTTATTAGAGAATGAGCAGGGGAGAGGGGCAGAGGGAGAGGGACAAGCAGACTCCACTGAGCAGGGGAGGACTCGATCCCAGGACCCTGGGATCATGACCTGAGCCGAAGGCAGATGGTTAACTGACTGAGCCACCCAGGCACCCAAAATATTTGGTGCTTTTGGGTTTTTAAATGTCATTTTATAAAACAAATGCAGATTTTGGATTCTAATTCTTGAGATAACCCTTAGATTGTATTAATTTTTTGAAGTCTGCTGTAGTAGATTTAGTGACTTAATATAAATTTCTTCTTAATAGTTCTTGAGGTCTGAAGCTTGAAATAGTTTTACTAGGCTAAAATTAGTTTCCTGGTTCTTTTTATTTTTTTATTATTATTATTTTTAGAGATTTTATTTATTTGAGAGAGCACGAGAGGGAAGAGGGTCAGAGGGAGAGCGGGAGCCCGATGTGGGACTCAATCCCGGGACTCCAGGATCATGACCTGAGCCGGAGGCAGTCGCTTAACCAACTGAGCCACCCAGGCGCCCTTCCTGGTTCTTTTTAGAAGCCCAGGGGAAAATCTATTCCTTCCCTCTTTCAGCTGCTGGGAGTTGCCAGCAGGCATTCTTTGCCTTGTGGCCACATCATTCTTGTCTCTCCCTCCATCATCACATTGCCTGATCTTGTGTAGTGATCTCTGCTTCCTTCTCAGGGGATTTGTGATTATGTCACTGGGCCTACCTGGATAATCCAGGATAATGTCCCCATCTCAAGATCCTTAATCACGTCTGCAAAATCACTTTTGTATATAAAGTAATAGTCACAGGTTCTGGGATTATGAAGTGGACGTTTTAGGGGGACTTTATTCAGCCTACCACAGCAGTCCTCTCAAATTCATTGTTAATCTCAATTCTCCATGCTACACACTTAATTTTTAGTCTGGTAGTGGTACTTTTTTTTTTTTTTTATTGAGAGAGAATGATAGCATGAGACGGGGGAGAGTCAGAGGGAGAAGCAAGACTCCCTGCTGAGCAGGGAGCCCGATCTGGGACTCGATGTGGGACTTGATCCTAGGACTCCACGATCATGACCTGAGCCGAAGTCAGTCGCCCAAACAACTGAGCCACCCAGGTGCCCCGGTACTTTTTGTTTCTTGTATGTTACCTACTTCTTTATGCCTTCCAATCACATGCTTCATTTAAGTCTCTGACTGACAAGCTGAACTTGAGATCATTTCCTCCAGGTTACCATTTACTACAACCTCTTTGTACTGATGCGTTAATAGCTAAATTTTTGATACATAAAACATAATTCTGTGATTCAAAGAACTTGCTTACCAGTTTGTGAAAGAGTAGGAGAGTTGCAAGACACTGGGGTGGAAGAATATTTTCCAAACCTCTTTGTACATAAAAAAACAAAGGAAGAGTTTAAAACTATAGCTTGCTGGGTTCTGCCTTTGGAAACTGATTTGATTGAGAATGGGAGGCTCAGAACGTCAGTTTTGTGGTTTTTTTTAAAGATTTTATTTATTTATTTGAGAGAGAGAGAATGAGAGAGAACACGAGAGGGAAGAGGGTCAGAGGGAGAAGCAGACTCCCTGCCGAGCAGGGAGCCCGATGTGGGACTCGATCCTGGGACTCCAGGATCAT